ACTTTACATTACGTGATTTTGACTGGCGCCGGAGCTCGAAACATTCAAGTACAAAGAATTAGGAGGACAAACATGTTCAGAATAACACAGACGGAAAAGTCAACAGACGCATCCCCGACCAAGCCATTGTCGAACTGCTCTCGTGCTCTCGTGGAGCGACGTTAGACCGACGAATCGCACCCCGACTGCAAAATTGAGCGAAAGAGAAGGAAGGCAGCGTGGGAGAGGGACGGGCCAGGTCAGAGCGACGATCCGGGTACAGTGGGCAGCAACACGCACCGGTTGGCATGGTACTCCCGAGTAATGTAGAATATTGACTCAGTTCTCTGAGTTTGGCTCTTGACAAGACTGGGCCGTCTGGAATGTGAATTTGAAGTACCCTCGTACAAGGACGGCGTGCTTAAGCAAAAAAAAACGTTACGATTGTCACTCGACTTGCTGCGCATTGTTTGGGGATTGATGCACGTCACGCGGGCTCCCAAACACGAAGGATTGTTCTCTGCAAAAATTATATGTAGCAGTGCTGTTACGCAACGGCCGTGTGGATCAAGCCGCACTTACCAGGGCAACACCAAACGCAGCCAGTGGGCTGAACGGCCCCGTGAAGTCGAGGGCGAAGACATTGTCCTCTTTGGAGCGGCCGAACTGCATGATGAACTGCCCTCGGCTATTGTGAAGCATGAAGTTCTTGACGGACTGCTTCTTGATGCGGTCCTTGTAGAACTCCAGCACGAAGTAGCCCGCCTATGTGTGTGCGTGTATGCGTTTTTATTATTAGCATCGACTGCGCTAAGCGGCTGACCGATGAAAATACATCAGTCTCAGTGCGGTTGAAAACACAAAACACTGTTAAATGCCATGAACTGGGACCCCGTGAGAGGGCAGCATGGGGGAGGCTAAGCTAATCTCCGGATGAAAAACAGAAACGGTAGCAACAGAAGAAGACTGCATGCGTTTACCAAGGCTGTTACCTTGCACTCGACTTCGTTTTGGGGTGCTTTCACCATCATTCTCATCATTTCGACAGCAATTGTTCGGCAATTTCTTCTCTGGCCCCGCGTCGTTTGTTATGGGGAATGTGTGTGTGTGTGCATGCCGGACCAGAATCACATGTCCCTCAGAGATGCGATGAGCACAAGGGTTGACTGCCACCTCGTTCTACACAGTAGTATCGCCACATCGAAGAATCGAAGAATATACTGGCCATCTGCTGACCTCTCCGATGCGAGCGATTTTTGTACCCGCAACTTACGTCTTCGTCCCATTCCGGCTTGATGCTGTGCATGCGAGGTACCGGGGTGATGATGTTGGTGTTGTCGTTGCCGAAGCTGTTGAGCAGCGATGCATGGTCTACCAAGTCGTCATCACTGTCCGCCACCAACACCTGCGCACCACACAACGCCGGAAAACGAATGTTAAAAACAATCACAGGAACATTGCATCCAGTAGCACAAGGTTACTCGTGTGTGCACGCCACGCCACAAACATTGTCACATATCATCACGTGTTGACGGGGAGATCGCTCTCGTACGTCATCCATCGACTTTAGCCCTCGTTGGGTTTTGGTGTCCCGAGGGGCCGACAATGATGTGCGGACGATAACATTTCGGTGGCTTGCATCGCACCTCGAGCTTTCGCGGTCCCTGGAAGTCGTCGTGGCGAGTCAGGTCGATGCTCACAGCTGCAATTTCCTTGCGTTCTGGCTTGATCGTGTACTTCTCGGGCCTGCCGATACAGCGGAAGCGAGAGTGATTGAGGTTGGGTATCAGCTCCGCTTGGGTGTTTACAGAATAGCCGCGACTTCGCCGGGAAGGGAGAGACCAGCACGATCCACACCCGACACAAGAAAAAAAAAAAATCATTCTACATCTACAGGAGAAAGATCGGGAGCTCACTTGGAATTTCAACGCCGCCTAAGAGTAAGGATTTGCCCGAAACACAATTGTCAAACGAAGCATTTCCCTACCACCAAGAGCCACACTCACAGAGTTTTATTCGCCTTGAAACCGTTGTCGTAGACGATGTATTGTCGCCGCTGGGCCACCGCCTTCACCTTGCCCAGCGTACTAGGCTCTCCTTTCTTCATGTACTCTGGGTTCATGGCGATGATGTAGCGGCCCTTGTCTTTCTTGGCCGTCATGAGCAGCTTCATTGAGGGCTGCAACGAGGGCAGTTTGGCCGAAAAAGCAATGTCTCAGACTCCGCCTTAGCGTGCGGTATTTACAACCAGGCGATGCCGAGCATGCGTGTAGAACACTTCGTCCGTTAATAAACCAACCAGTAGCGACTGGAATCCAAGACAAGTGCCCTTAGCCTCCCCGACTCTGGGCTAAAAACCGGCAACACGCGCCCATTCCCCTGCTCACCTCGTAGTAAGCCTGGTAGATTGTACTCATGACACCCTTCTTGCGGCGGATCATGCACTCGATTACCCCTGTCTGAGGCTCCACTGGCTGGTTAAGGAATGCCCGCATCGTTGCCTTCGTGAACGGTTCCGTTCGAGGAGCACTGTGACGAAAACACACGTGGGGGAAGCAAAGATCAGCCACATCAAGCCAGCGCACCGGGACAAACCAATCATGATCGCCAACGAAAAACGGGGCTACTTCTAATTGCTGTTTTATGTGGTTCGTGCGACACGCAGAGGATGCAAATCACCTCAGATTCGCGCCAACTCGCGCATCGCTGGGCGACGCCTGCCCCCCTTGCCCGTCCGACAGATCCTCCTCGTCCTCCTCGTCGTCCTCCTCCTCGACGTCCTCCTCCTCGTCGTCCATCTCTGCACGGATGGGCGAGACCGGGGCAGCGTCCGAGCTGCGGTCGTCCTCATCTTCGTCTACGGTGACGCGCAGCGCAGACTCTTGCCGCGCCTTCTCTCTGGCGGCCGCACGCTCTCGCCGGGCTGCTTCCGCTTCGGCTTTTCGGATTCTTGCTCGCCGGGCTCTCCAGTGCCGGATGATTTTTCTCGAGCTTCTTCGCTCGTAGAATGCCATCACCTCCTCCAGGTGCTCGTGCTCTGCACCCCTGTTTCATTTGAACGGTGCAGGCAGACAGAATCAGTAAATAACGATACGTCGGTGACGCGGCCTAACAGCCGCTGTTGCCACTTCTGCGCGCAGCTCAATTGGCTATGCATATTGCATGAGTGTGGCGGCGGATCTTCCTGTCGTATGTTGTATAATACGCAAATGCCAACCAACTGCACCGAGGAAGTCGGGGGACGGTCCTCGGTGAACGACGTAGATTTGGCCTTGTTTTTCCGTCTGCGAATTCAGCTCCAAGCAGCAAGGGTGCAAGCATGCATCTATGGGGAGACAGACATGCACGCGCTTAATCCCATGTCCTTGGACGCCTATGTTGTTCACACTTCGATGGACGATGCACTACTGAGCACAGGCACACACACACACACCCACACCCACACACCTGATGAAGATCTTGGTCCTTCCAACCTCGAACTTCGTCTTTGAGTCTGGGTCGTGGCGGTCGCGGATCAGCAAAGCATCCGCCAACTTCGTGCACACGACGGCCTCGCTTTCTGCGTCTGCGGGGCGACCCGATGCCGTCAACTCTCGCGGACCGAGTCTTCCATACCTCTTGATGAACTCAGGATGGGACACATTCACCCCAACGAACTTGTACACCTTCAATCGCGAGAGTTGCACCGGTTCGCATGCGGAGCCACAAGAGCCACCAGATTAACTCAAGCCAATGAAAATCGTGAAAGTGTCCATCAAACCACGCTGGAGCTGCAGCACACAGCAACTTCTGTGACCGTGACAAGAGACTATGAACACAATAAAGTGTTGCTCTTCCCGAACGCTGTTCATCGCCAACGCGCTACACCCCGAAACCTTGCCGTTGCGACACTTCCACAACGCCTGAAATTTCGCATGCTGCACTACTGCTGTTTGCAATGTATGTAGACAGAGGATGATAAAACTATGCCCACACGAGGATTGCTCATGAATGCTCTGTCGTACGCAAGTTCTTCCGCCAACTCACTAGTCTAAGCAATCAGCACTAAATGCACCTTCATACCTGCGCAGCCTCAACGATGCTGGCGGACAGCAGTTGCTGAGTCACATATTCGTCCTCGAACAACACCGGGTCGTTCTCCATGTTGGGCCGAATACACAGAATGTACTGCACCTGTGATACCACAAAAAACACTTGCAAGGGTTAGTCGTGTCCCGCAACAGTGCTGCTGTACCTAGACCATCGGTTGCAGTACCGAACGAAATAATCGAGATCAAGTAACCGTTCAACAACACCGCGTCTCGTGGTGACTGATGTCTGGGAGCCATGCTTCTTACGGGCTTAGCTGAGACGTGGGTCATTCCATCCAATTGTGGCGTACCTCGGTAGAGTGGATTCGCTCCACCAAATCCCTAAGCTCGCCCTTGAAGCGCCGTCCCATGCTCTCCCGCTTCAAGACTTCCTGCCCCCCTTCCATGACGGAAGACACGCGCTTACCCTTGCGCCTGAGTTTTTTTCCCGCGGAACCGACAAACGAGCAACACAGAAAATCGGGGTTCGTGTCATGCGCAAGGAACGAGAAAAGTATAACAGCAGTGGCACCAGTAGCCTACGGTGAGTGTAAATTCAAGACCAATTGGTACTTCTGTAGAACTCTTCCTTTGAACCAATCAATCGCACGGTTCTAAACACCTGGGCTTAGCAAATCTGTTCATTTCAAACATTTCTGCAGCCTTGCTGAAGAGGTTTTCTCAGCAAAACCTGGTCTTCAGAGCAGTCCACCGGGAATATCCAAGCGATACACACACTCACGCGCCCCCTCCCGCAGGTCCGGTCTCCTTCTTCTTGAACATTGCCAACCGAGCCTGGAAGTCATTCTGCGCCGGCTGCGAGGACTCGCCCTCGTCGGCTCCTTCTCCGCCTCCAACCGCGTACGCGTACACCCTACGCAGTCATGTCGAGCATGAAACGGATATCGCAACAAAACACGAAGCGCGTGGAACAGTTGCCATCAGTAAACAATACCTTAGCCTAGGTCTTCCTGCCTCTAGGTCAACGTATCGTGAGCACTGCACTTGGTTGACTGATCGTGAGCACACACAAGGGGGGGGCCTACTGAACCCTCTCTCGCCTTAAAATCGAAGGCAAGCACAGCAGAGGGGGTGGGACATTAAAAAAGCGCCTGGTATCTTTCGTGATGTGACAACCCCGGCTGATCTAGGTAAAATACATACAAGTAGGGTGGCGCCGGAGTAGGTGGGACGCAGATACACACAATCTGCTAAAAACAATCCGCGTCTGCGTGCAGGGGTCGATGACGGAAAAAGCACACCTTCGGACCATGTTGTTCGTGCTTGCGCCGAGCAACTTTGCGACACTGGTGTGCAGTTTATCCCTGTTGCGTTCCACAAACCCGTCTGCGTCATACTTGACAGCGTGATTGTAGTGGTGGACGGTGAAGTGCTTGAGCCTCGAGTTGGCTTTCAAGTGCTGCTCGTGGGCGACCTGGCGAGAATGCGGCATGCCGATCAAATCACGCAAGGGCGAACGCACGCATGCACACATGTCAGTGACGGCTCTTGAGCGGGCTTGTGTTGGATCCAGCGTTTGCGCTCTACAGTAGAAGTTCCTGTCTGCCAGCCACCCGCTATCTAGCATTGCTGAACGAGGATATCTCGAGCGGTTCGCCATCGCTCCTAACCAACTTCCGCATATTGCTGGATACAGCCGTCCACCCGGGTTGTTCTTCCTACTCCAGCTATCCACGTCCAGCTAGGAAATTGCGAGGAAATGATAATCGGTGTGTTGAAGTCTCCTCTGTGCCACACAGTATATCAGCAAAGAGCTCCGGCTGTTGGCTTTTTCTCGCGCTCTCGTTAGATAGATCAAACGCGGCATGTGTATCTACCGTCAACATCGCCAACATTTGACAGGTGCTCTACATAGCAACATTTTGGTGTCGCATGTTTCTTAGAACCGGATTGAATACGTGCTGAGGTGTTGTGTTAGCACGTGGCCATGGCCGGATGGCAATCTGTTGCATTCTTTGTGTCGGGGGTGCTAGTGGGTGTTAAGTGTCAAGTTTTCGACGACAAGTGGACCATGCTATGCTGACAACAGGACTGTCTTGATGAGCTGATTTATATCAAGACAAATTGTCGGGATATCGCCACCCAAAGATGTACCTGTAGTGAACATCCTACGTTCATCAGCTTGATTCCCACGCGTTTTAGCATCCTTTAGCTCGGTTCATGTTTACAAGGACACTAAAGCGGCCATTGAGTGCCGATTCTCACGTTCTCTACGAAACCAGGTGAGCTTGCCGTGCTACAAATCTGTTTCGTGAGTTGAGTCCCTCCCATGGCATTTGCACAATCAAGAGTGAAGGTGTTGCCGTCGGAAGCTCAATCGAACGCCCCTCATTCCGCACACATCGGATGAAACTACATTCCAAAGAATGCATCCCTCAGCCGCTCATCTCCAGCGTTCCGGTCGGTGAACACGTGTATGGACCACGGCAATGCACTTCACCAACGGAACGCAAAAACTGACCTGTGTTTGAGACTGCAGCAGGGCCACGAAGCCGCTATCTGTTCCATGGGGCAGCAGGCACTCCTCGTCAAGCATTGAAAGGACGCCCCTGAGAAAGCGAACGGAAGACGATCAGCAGCAGCAGCAACAGCAGCATAAGCGGCAGTGTTGGAGATGTGACTTCTTACCTCACCTTCCCTTGTGTGTACAGGCCCAAAATATCTGCCGCCGTATTCTCGCACGACACATACTTTGCACAAGCACCGGAAAATATCGGCATGAGGTCTGCGTATGGCGGTATCGAAGCTATATTCCAAGAAACCAAGATAAATTGGCAATATTCGCAAAGGCTGTAACGTAAGCCCATCGGTCATGGCAAGCTCAAGCACACCCGCCAACGGTGGCCAGCTGGATCGCCCTAGAAGAATCGCGGATCGCACCTGTTACCCTCCAAGGTTTCGAGGATGGTCGTGTTATCACGGTACATGAACTTGGCGTAGTCAATTCCCTCCGTCTCGCAGAGCCTCTCAACCGACTTGAACACGTCCTGCGGAGTGGAACGCAAGAATGGAGCGCATGTTTGGTTGTACTGCAAAGGCGGCAAGGTGGCAAAACCTCTGACCAGAGTTTCAATCGAGGGCCAACGCGTTTAACACCGACAAACGCTGCGGGCTTGGCAGGGTAGAACTTCGGTTTCACCTACGCAGCAGCGATTGTCAAACCCCACATCTTGCCTGGGAGTCACATATTCAACCAGACACTTCCACAAAATAAAAACCAAGACGATTGATTAAGGTGCGGTGCCCACCTGGATGAACATCTGCTGAAGTTTTTCGCTCGCGTAGTTGATCAGAAGCTGCTCGAACCCGTTGCGCCTGAACGACTCGAACCCGAAGATATCGATCAATGAAATCGTCCCCGCGGCCTCCTCGTTCTCCGTGCAGCTAAACCCCAAGCGCCGCACACACCACAAACAATACACACGAGGCATTGGTCAGCTGGTTTGCGTGTTCGATCTCGACCAATCAAGCACAGTCATGGCAAGGTCGAGAGACGGACGAGGGGGAACCACGAAAGCAAGAAGATACACAGCTTCTCTGTGGCTTGCTAGGCAGACTTGTGAACGCCCGATCGATCTCCTCGTTCTTTGCCTCGACAATCTCCAAGATCCCGTTAAAGTTTGCAAAGGCAACGGTAGAACTGGCCCTGCAGCAGGGAAGGGAGCAGAAGCCGCAACTGTACAAGTAGTGACTACAATGCAACACGAGGCCACCGTGTGCCCACCAGAAACGAGCGTGAGCATTCTCGTCACGTTTTCGGCAAAGCTTTTCGAATCAAAGATCCCTCTCTCCTTAGCATCGCCAGACAGCCGAGAGGAGCGGAGGATCTGTCGAGGTGAGTGTCTATGCACCCACCCACGGGTTTTTGGCTAACCTTGTGGCCTCGTTGATCTTCTTCAACAGGTAATTGAAAATGCCTAGGTACACGTCCTTGGCCAGGGCGTCCCTTGCCGATTGCGCCTCCCCGACTTTGTTGGGCTTGACGAAGGTCTCGCGAGCCACCATCAGTGGCCGCGTCAGCAGCGCGCCTGTCAACTCCTCCACGCTCAGCCCAAGCAGATCGGCCGACGTCTGCAACGATTCCTCCGTCCCCCCGGCAAGCTTACTGGCATCATCCGTGCGGCCAGTGTCGGAAAGAAACTCAAGCTGCGCCGCGGAACGAAAGGTGGTCGGAAGAAGAGCAACCGCACGGAACAAATGGCGGCTCCTGTAAGGACAAATCCATAAAAATAAACATCACAAACGCTTACACACATCGGACAGCTGCATCAAGCGAGGGTGAGCAGCGCCCCCAGGGAGGGGCTGCAGCGGGAGTCATTACCCAGCCCAGCGCAAAACGAACCTGCCCCAAATGAAGGAGCCCCCCCAACGCCTTGAAAACGTCCTTCTCTTCTTCGATCGCGATCCCTAGCTCGCGGATGGCATCCTGCACTTCCGCCAAGCCCGTGAAGTCCATGTCCTCCGCCGGCGCGTGGGTGTTGAGGTACTTGAAGTCGTTTGAAGTTTTGCCTGCATCAAGAAATGGACGGGATGGCCACGAGGCGGTTAAAATCTACCAGACAAACAGGATCTGCTGACGCCACGCGCTCTGTCATGGCTGACGTTTGTAATCTGAGATAAGTGCAAGTTGGTGGCTGGCAATGCTGTGTTGAGCGTGGGGTGATCGCGCTCAATCGGCCTTTTCTTGTGGTCAGCGCGTTCTCTGCTGCGAAAATATTTTTGCTGCTGTCTGGATCCTGTCTCTGTCTCTGTCTCTCTCTTTGCCTCCGTGTGCACACACAGCGCGCTTCAACACCCCCACACGCACCCAGACACACACGCCAGACCGAAAAGCCGTTTTCGTCTTTGCATGACACCCCGCACAGCTCGACACAAACAGCTTGCTCGGCGGCAAGTGCACTGGGACAGGTTACCGTTGTCGGCTGCCGGCGTGGTGTATACTACTCAACTTTTAGTACAACGACGCTCACACATATGTCAGACTCAACAAAGTGCACTGAATTCATGGCATTGCAGTACGTCCGCACGCACTCATCATAGACCAGAGGCGAGATATGCATCAGATAAACAGCAGACGCGCACGGCGAAATCCAAACGGCAATACTGCTATTGGTTTGCTGTGTGGTGCTCATACTGCTCTGCTGTAGTTCCACGCGCTCTCGTGGCAATTTGTGAAAACAAGTGAAAACAAAACAAAACAGACATTTCCCAAAAAAAGACACACGTGCATCAGGCGGGTTGCTGCCAGAATATTTTGGACTTCGTACTAGCGTGAGTCGCCTCTGCTTTAGTGCTTGCGCTTAATTAACAATGCCTGCGTTGTGCCGTGCTACTGTATGCAAAGTATGTGCTGCTCCTGTTGATTAAAAGGGAGTGGACAGTTCCTCATCGTTCCGCGTTCCTCACTTCGCTCATCCTAAACCAACGAACAAGTATACCATGGCAGAATATGCAGCGCTGCAGAATCATGGCGTTTGACACGAAACCGCTGGCGAGCGAAACCAGCTTCAAACTTGCTGCACCCACCGCCTCGAGTACATGGCATGGGAACCACATGTAGATATGGTGCTAGCGGCAGCAGAAAATAGCCAAATTAATCGGAGACAGATGTGACATGGTCGTGGTGCGCTAGGCCGCAAACATCATACCTGACAACTGAAGCGACTTCTTGAAGTCTTCGTCGTCGGAGCCCACCATCTGGTAAAACACGTGGAAATTGCGCTCTCGAGACGACCGAGACACCACGCGACTCTTTTCCAGGAGGTAGGTGGTGTTGAGCGATCCGACCATCTTGGGGATGTCCCCGTCGTCGAACTGCAGCTGCGTCACTACTCCGTAACGACTGCTGTTGTTGTTGCCCATCTGTATCACAAAAGAAAGGGAAGAAACGCGCACGGCAGTCGAAAAACCAAACCCCTAACGGGCGGAGTGTGCCTGGAAATACTCAAGCCGCCGGCAACGATAGCGTGCACGAAGTCCTTGTCATCGCCAAAGATTTCCGCCACGTCAAGAAGATGAGAGCACGTGAACCCATGAGCGTTACGGTGGAAGCCCTTTTGGGCGACACAATGACAGTGATGGCGACCAAGTCCTTCAGATGCCGGACGGAATGTTGTTCCTTACAGGCAACACAGCGACATACGTCGAGGGAGGCTACCAGCACCAGCAAATACTTACGCAACACGATCGGGGGCTGCCAACGGTCATCGCAACGACGATCCGGTTGTGAAATATTCTTCAAACGCGCAAAATAGCGCGTCCCGCAACGGAAACCCCACGAAACTCCGTGATACGCTGTCGGGAATTTGGAGTCTTGCTCACGACACGACATCGAGCTACTGGGCATACAACTCGCTATTGATGGGGACTTCGTGAGGGGGAGCAAAGACTTCGCCGCAGAATCTGCAACACAAGCGAAATGCGGTTTTCAACTGTTTGGAGGCGTCCTATGTGAAAGCCATAGTTTCTTCCTTCTCACGCTCTCCTGAGGTACTGTAGGCCTGTTCCGTCAACAAATCATAGTGGACTGACTGCTTGTGAGATCGACGTCAACACTTATCGAACAAAGACATCACGAGCACGACGTCGCGAGAAGTTGAAACAGAATAACGCAGATCGGGCAAGGACGAACCCCTCGATGGCTTCACGTCGGATTTCAACGCGACCCATATGCTTCCGTTTTGAGGCCATGCGCATTTTCTATGTTTCGGACAACGTATTAAAAAGGCATGGAAAAGACACTGTCGCAGCTCCGTGTCTTGCGGTAGGTCCCTGGGTGCCGTCAACTTAGGCGAGATTTTCGAGTCTCGGCAAAAAATGGAGCTATCCAACATCAGAGAAACTCCGTCTGCTGCCGTTGTTGGAATACGTAAAAACTTTCAGTTTTCGACAGGCAGCTGTGAGCGTCAACGAGTCCCAACTGGTTGACGGTCGGGTTGAAGTGGCCATAGTTGCCTTGCGGCCGGGATTGGATACATTCACAACAGCCCTCAGCCTCTCTTTCGTACCCCTTCAAGCAAGCTTTGCTGTGCGCCGTCGCATGAGAACCACTCAGCCTACCGGAGTTGGGCACAACGATAACTTAGACTCTTTTCCATTCCAAGGTATTTACTTGTTTGGCCAGTACAGCTGCAGACGACTACCAGTATTGCACTCAAGGATAGACAAGAGCGAGCGCTGCACGCACTCTTTCCTTCCTGTGGCAATGGCAATGATACAAACCACACACAAACCAAGCCCATTCCGCGTGGTATCTTGGACGGAAGGACTAGGACAAACCATATTGAGTCAGTTTGGAAAGAGGCTGTCTGACTGTACATACAGTAGCGCTAGCCATCCTTGCTGCTGCTTTTCTACGACTGACGCCGTAGCGTTCACCACGGTCACTCATCGTATACAACCGCACACCCCAGCACTTTATATTTCATGTACGAAGATCATGACCAATACGGCTGCTACTGGACAGGACAAATCCGCGTTGTTATCTCCTCTACCTTAAAAACAACACGACGCTCTGGCCCATCGTCATCGAGCCACTTTTCCCGATTTTTTCCCCGATTGCGTTTTGTTTTTCAGGGAAACGTTTCATGTCGATGTCAATCTCACGACTCCATGGTAAAAACATGCAACAGAACGAAGAAAAACAGGCCTCCTTAATTGCTTTGTTTTCTGTAGGGGGGGGGGGGGGGGGGGGGTCACGGGTCGCGACATATGCGCTCGACAACAAAGGGGCGTAGGAAATTTGATTTTTCGTGTATCTGCCGAGATTGAAATCGCAACAACTCGAAAACAAGACGAGCACACCACCACGAGAATATCTTACTTCTGTGAACGACCGAAAAAATCGTCCATATATACTTATGATCATCACCACAACACAATGTAGTCAGCAGTAACATATATGTTATGTCGGAAAACAACAATCACTGCAACAGCATCCTCCAGAGAGTTGACTGCACTGAACCATGCATTTGAACGACGGCCAAGTTTTGGTCCAACTCCCAAAAGGAAAATAACGTCCGCCAAAAAATTGTTTATCATGAGCAAGTCAAAATCAACCGCCCCAAGCTTTATGCTTTGCACAATGGCCCGTGGAACAAGGTCCTCGCTTGGACCTGTCTCTCTACCGGTCTGTTGTCTACAGTAGCTCTATGCGCCTCTCACCATGACCGCGTTTCCAAAGCTCTCCAGCACCACTGTACACTCCACCATGTGCTGAATGCGCTCGCTGCCCACCCCTCCCTCCTCCGACCCAGCCACGGACGCCAAATGACCTAGCAAGAGCTTCGCCGTTTCCGTCTTCCCCGCTCCTGAAACACCGCTGATCAGGATGCTCTGGTCTTCCTGGCCCTCCAGCAGCGCGCTAATCCACCATAATACAACAGCAGTTGGAGTTGGTGTGACCGAACCGAAGAGACAAAGAAAGGAATTGACAGTTTGACACGCGCACCAAATATCGTAAGCCACGAGGGCTACTCACGAAGGACGTAGTCACGTCTTTGGACCACGACCACTTGCGGAAGTTGGCCACCAAGAGAGCTGAAAGACAGGGCTTTCGCAACAGCAACCAATTGGGATGGTGCTACAACATTCAAAATTTCGAGCTGAATGCAATATCACGGCGTGAAAACTGCTGCGGACGTAGGTTAGTACTGCGTTGGGTTGTTCTGCTAGTTTCATGGCGAAGCCGCCGTCTGTGCCAGCAGCATGTATTTGTGGTGACTACGAGGTAGACCTGGAATGCGCTCAACAGCAAAAATTCAGAGGGGTTCCCGAAAATGTTCAGGTATCCCGGTGGCAATTTGGTGACTGTTTTTTCTAATTTTCCATGGGGTGCAACATAGGGTGCTTGGTCATGCTTCGTCCGCATGAAAGACACCAACCAGGATCTACCGTTATTCTAATGTTATTCCGAAGCATATTATGAATAGTCGAAGCCTTTGATTGTTCGGATGCATATGAGCATATTGCGCGAAGAGCGAGCGAGACGCGCAATTTGCGGACCTGTGGTGGCTTCCATATCATGGTCTCATCGCACGCAGACCCAATCGCCCTCTATGCCAGGGCTGTCTGCGTTAGAGCCGGGTCTCGTGTTGCGCTTGTTATTCTGGATGGAGCCAGTTAGTGCCTCCCACGCCATGGCAGCTGTACTACAAGTACTTCGAAGTACTTCACGCCTTCTCTTGAACCAACACATTTTCTCTTCCAGCTGGCCCCATCAGAGCAGTCTACATAAAATTTACACGCTGTCTTTCTTCGTGATGTGTTTCGAGAGCCATGCGCGCAAAAGTCACCAACGAACAGAGATTGGAGACAGCGCACAGGAATAGGCGTGCACTCAAAGGTCTGCTGGGTATATTGTATGGGGTAGACTAGAATTGCCACCCCGTGTATCGTATCTAGGAAGTAGTCAAGCATGTCTTGAGATGGAACAACTTGCTACGAAAAAACAGGTTCCAGTTATGAAACAAACATGAACATGCTCCTGCGCCGCAGGTCACAGGCACAATGTGCAGCTCGTGTTCTCGCACTGCTGTGCGGCGTCCAGACTAGCTAGCCCTCAACCTGCTGCGCAAACATAGCTCTCGCTACACAGCCCGGGAGACTTCCAAATGATGCATCATAGAACTATTCACTATTTAGAGTATAGCAATGCATTTACGCCGTAGGAGGTAACCTGGTACCATTGCACTCAGCGAGGCGCGAATGCCTTGGCGGTAGTTAAACGCCATCCCACTCCTACAGACTCTTGTCTGCAGGTTTCGTGCAGCGTAACGGGGAAATGAGAATCTTCCGCGCCCACCCAATGCGTTAGCACAGATGAAAGCGCGGGGGGGGGTAGACTATTCGCAAACGAACGAGGGTACAACGTAACGCCCGCCGGACTGGTGCTGCTGTCTGTTGGTTGAGCACACACGCAGCAGCACAGTAGTCTGCAAAAAAAAAAAACATTCGGTACAACAGCCCCACGACTTCCGAAAAACCAACGTCGCACCCGTCGCATCCGCGAGCCACCTAGGTACCGCCCGGGAGAGTAAACAAAAACAACATGCACACACAACACGTACACGTTAAAGCGGCATAAATCAAGCTGACATACCACAAAGCCTCTTTCCCTCTACCCTCACCGATAGGCAGCAGCCGTCGATTTGTAGATGTGCGCCGGCAGGTCTCGCCGACCTGGTTCTTGGTAAGCCAACCCAAGGTCATCATCGTACAGGTCAAGCCACTCGAACGGGTTCACGGCCACCACAATATTTCCGAGGGAGGTGTATGGCCTTTGAACTTTGAAGCGCTTGTGCAAATGTGCTGCGATGGTGGCCTTGTTGTAGTCATCGAGCTGATTCAGGTCCTCCTTCGGTACCGCTCGCTGTGATTTGATTTATTTGCAGTCGAAGCAAGAAAACAACGAAAGACGTGTGGCGCGTGCAACATGCAACCAGCGATAATCATCAAAGCACGACACCGGGTGCGTGGCCCCAACTCTCAACACTCCACAACGTACACGTAATGGCAGCGATGTCGACCACTGCCTGACACATCCTCGCTATCCCGATCCCACCCCCTGTCGGCGCAAAAAGGGGGAAGAGATGACCGAGATGAAACGCGCCGTCCGTCCAAAAAGAAGAGTTGCCTCCGCAGTGGGAAGGAATCATTCTGATACGAGAACCGCCAAGCGCGACACCGAGAATACACGCGCAAACACACACAAAGACATCCGCACCTCAGCCGAGAAACGACTCATGACGGCCGGAGACGACCTTCCTCGTGTGCTCCTCCGCACACAGCTTTGTGGGGAGAGAGAAAGAGAGCGATAGCAGGCAGAGGAGACACACAGCACGAGCAGGAGAGAATTTGAGAGAGATGCGGGGGAGCCGCAGTGTAGAAACTATTACGCGCGCGTATGTACGCTCGCTATGTTTGCGCACCAACTTTTTGGGAAACATCCAACTTTTTTCGTCGGCGCGTGTTGTTGTCAAGGACAGCAACAGCGCCACCGAGGGCAGAGGGACATGCGCAAAAACGGGTGAGCACGCCGATCTAGCCATAGTTAGCGTTATCCAGTCCGTGTGTGACTCGCGCGGAGCAAAAAAAAAGCTTTGTCTCATACTCATTCCGCGGGCAAAAAATAGGCAGTACGGGCCACGGGCCACAGGCGCCGGAAGGGGCACTTGCACCTTCTGTTCACTGCTGCTGTGTTGACCCTCCTCCAGCTACCTAGCTACTGATCCCTTCAAGTTGTGGAGACTGCGTCACCACCGAGTTGGCTAGATCGCAGGCGCAACGCAGCTCTTTGTCGATATACTTCTCTCTCTCGCCCCCTCTCTCGCTCTCGCTCTGTGTCTCTACCTCTGCCACATCACTGTCTTCAAACTCTCTCCTTTCACCCTCTGCCTTCTCTGTGCCATCTCTATTTCCTGACAGCTTTGAGGCTCCCCTGGAGCCTCTGCAGGTGCTGACATGGGTGCTGTTGCTTCTCATCGTGGGAGGCTTTTATTCCTTCATCGTCCCGGCACTTGCACGAGTGTGGGCGATTGTCGCTGGCCTGGTGTACGGGGTGTTGGCCTCATCAACAGTCCTTGCCGGCATATTAGCCTGCTTGAAGGACCCGATTGACCCTAACGTCCGCCGCTTCCACCAGGTAAGATGGATGCATCGACTTCTTTTTGGCCGGGGGCAAGAAGTGGGAGGCCCACAGGCTCATGCCACGTAGTTGCTTGTGTGCAACGTTCATTTTGTATTCGAACCAATGTTCCGCATCTGACCCAGTCTTTTCCTTTCATGTTGGTGTGTGGCTCGTCTCTTTCGGAACATGCTCCATCACGTGGGGTTTTGGGCATTAACTGACCAGGGCGAAACTGCGGCGGGGTCGGCGGCCGACAAGACTTTCTGCTTCCTTTGCCAGCTGCACGTGAACAAAGGAAGCCGCCATTGTCGCTATTGCGACAAATGCGTAGATAGATTCGACCACCATTGCAAATGGTGAGTCCGTTTGACTGGTCGCACGAGAGCAAGTTGTGTTCACCACAACCCACAACCCTACAGCTGCATCGAATTCTGAGTAGTGTCGACATAATCCTGGTCCGGGAGCTGGGAAGAGTTTCCATCCTCAACAACGTGCGTAATGTGCTGCTATTTTCTATTGTTTCACATCAAGCCGAAGAATATCCGTCGGCGTGCTAGTCCCAAGCTGCTTTCTTTTTTCCTTCTTGCGTGTTGCTGGACACACCTTATTCGCCAACAAACGAAAACAACAGCACGCGTTCCACTTGAAAAAATAACGGAGTCACGCGGCAGGGAGGGGCAGGGCCCCGCCGGCAGCAACTGACGCAAACGGAAAGATAATGTACTCGAGCTACTACGTATGCATGCACACAGCAGTAGTACATTGAGCCAACAAAGTGCAACCCGAGAAGCTAACCCAAAATAACACCAACCCTAACCGTAAGTCGTCCTGTAGATCCTTGACAACTAGCATGTTCGGCCGGAGAGTCGATACGCATGTCGCTTAATTAAGTGCTCCCGAAAAGAACAGCCGCGACCGGCCCTGAACGGAGAGAGAGGGCACTTCTCAGAATACCCATCCATGCGTGTGGCCCGACATAGTGGCAACTTGAAGAAGAGTGGACCTGCCCATATAGTGCCATAACAATGTCTTGTCACAATCTCGACATTTTGTTTTTGTTGTTGTTGTTGTTGTCTTCACATTAAAAACCGTTCCACTCTCTCTCTACCGAGTACCTTCATATGTCCGTACTGATCCAACACTTGACGCGGTCGATTCCCGTGGTCACAGGCTAACTTACCCTCAAAAGGTACACGCAAATAAACTGGCCCCGAGGGGTCCGCAAGTCAATAGAAATCAACGACAGATATGCTGGAGTCCTCCGCTCCCTCTGCGCGCTATGCGAGGTAACAACTGAGACTAGGAGTCAGCATCACGGGCCAGAGAGAAAGAGGTACACCCCCTTGGTTCAATCTTGGTACTTCACAACGCAAGGAGAGAAAAGGCCATGTGACACAGAAAAAGATATGTACATGAACCCGATATGATGTATCGAATAGAAGAGTAATGGCACTGCCCTGAATAATGACATATTCTCCTTTTACCCCTACATGCCACTACGTATATCGGGCCAACCTCTGTATGCACTTTTAGTGGTGAGGTACTCGATGCTTTCATCCATCTCCTCGCTAATGTGCTCGCTGTTGTTGTCACAACAAACATCAACCCACATCATGAATGACGTACAACGCAACATCATGCGTACAATACTCTACTTGCCGTGGAGGTGCGCAACGCTACGCGAGCAAGGCGTCAACAGTAGGAGGCGAAACCTAGTGACAACACAAACAAACATGACCAGACAGAAAATATCCACCATGGACGGAAAACTGCACCTCAATAACCCTGCCGTCCGCGTTAGATGCGCACCTACACGATGGTTGGGCGGGGGACCCCCCCAAAAAAGCATGAACAAACAAACAATAATAATTCATAGAAGTAAGAAACGAGCGAGGCCAGGAGAGTGAGCCAGACCCGACAGGCTTCAGGAAGGAGACGGAAGAGAGCATAGAAAAAGCGCCCTCCTCGCCGCTCTGAACCCCCAGAAGCTGTCACATGGGCACTGCAGCAAGCATCATGGTCGTGACCATTCCCTGGCAGCACCCATCGTCTCCCGTACAGCAGCGGGATGCACGGGTAGCCTCTTTACTCAGCCAGCAAGAAAAAAAACAATCGTGGTTGGCGTTGTAGTGGGGACCCCACCGGCCCGGCGAAAGGCGAGAGGAGAGAGCGAAAGAAGACAAGGCATTCACTCTCGAGAAGACACACAATCTCGTCCCTCTGATCACTGTGGCTCGAGATTAGCGTTTAAGACCCTGTCGGGGGGTGGAATGAAAATGACAGGGATAGAGAAAAAAGTGAATTTAGGTCGATAGCTAGAGACCCAAGCTTGGGAATGCAGACGTTAGATGTTACTGTGACCAGAGAACATCGAAAATACCACTATCCATGGACTAAGGGTAGGTCTTAACGAAGAAATTAGATCTCGAAATCACATTCAGAGTTGGTTATAAGACCGGAAGATCCAAAGAACTCTCTTGTTGATTGGCTGAAATGTTATGGAACCCGTCGAATCTTTAGGACTTAAAACAGGACGACCCAAAACCAAATCGGGATTTGAAAAACGGTCAAATCATTTAATCGGATCCCGATTTGGGTGAACAGCGTCCATAGTTGCGGGACCACGGTCTACTCGCATGCACGGCGCGTGCCCACCTACCCCCATCCGCACGAAGTCCATCCACCGCCAAGCACAGAGGAAAGAAAGAGCATATAAACCGAACCCAAAGGGAGGGTGACTGCGCATCGTTGTTGACTGGTGCCGAAAAAAAACGTGTGTGGGATGTGTTGGTCTATGGGGCAATCTCACGTGGGTTGTCGAACTTCAAATGCACAGATGAATTGGCGGCGTTCCGTCGGACGAGGCTCGATTCAAAGTCTCACATGCGTATAGACATCGTGTCAGTACCGCACAGAGGCCATGTACGCGTTTGGTGTGTGCTTGTCGGGAGCGATAGCTCCCCATGTGGTGTGGCCACGTCACAACAGTACGTCACAACAGGAATGTGGTAGTTGGCAAGCGGCGGACCTCTCGGGTTGTTCGCGGTGGACTGCAGACATTCGTTTCCATTCGGTAGATCTCCCGTTAAGACACCCAGGCCATTTCTGTCCGGATTTGGGTAGATCCGACTCTTTTATTCTTGTATTCAAATGTGATTTCGAGATCTGATTTCTTCGTTAAGACATACCCAACCCAGCAGTATCTGCGCTCCGCTCCTAGATGGACGTTCAGTGTTGTTGGAGGCCATGACTGGTTTTTCGCGCGAAGATGGTCGAGACGACCTGACCCGCACGCATACGGAAAAAGCAGTCTTCGACCGGCCCTCAGCGGAGAGAAAGAAAGGGACACTTCTCACAGCGCCCATCCTTGCAAATGCGCTGTTTATGGCGAGGGACCCCACGCTATCAACAATCTCGCTACTCCACGCTGTCATCAATCTCGCTATTATATTATAGTCGTGCTCGCTGATGATCTATCTGGCTAGTACCCACGATCGCACCCGAATGAAGGAGCACCAGAACGCGGACCGGTAGTTAAGTCCCGCTCTTTCGGCAAGAACGAAATACCCCCGGGCGAACTTGCATTGGTAGTCACAGCAAATATGTCATGATGGTATATCCTGATTGATTGACGTACTATTTTGCTTGCCGTCAGAGATGCGCATCGCTACCGAGAGCGAGGAAGGCGTTAACCCCTCGCAAAGCTTCCTACGCACATGATGAGAGTGTGCTGCCGTCGACCCAATATCCCTCAAGCTTACACACAGCCATACCCGATACATAGTAAGAAAAACATTACCCCAACAAAAAACTAAAATCTATTGGTGAGTGGGCGGATGGAAGACCCCAAAAAACAAGGCATGAAAAAAAAAAACACAAAAATTTCAGCCAGGAGGCGGAGGAGAGCATAGAAAACGCACCCTCGCCGTTCTAAACCCCCGGAAGCTCTCACGTAGGCACTGCAGCAAACATTATGGCCACGCCCATTACTTGGCAGCGCCCATCGTGTTACATGCAGCAGCTGGGTGCACCGGTAGCCTCGTTTACTCAGACAGCATCAAACAAAACTAACTACGGAATTTACGGACGGACTTTCTTTCTTTGTGGTATTGTTGTAGTGACTTCAAAAACAATGAACATGACTTCGAGAAGAGACTAAGCAACGGACGAACTACTGTACCTCATTACACCTGCCGTCCGTGTTAGATGTGCACCTCTACAAGACAAGCGTCGACCGCGTTCTCATAGCCATACCACGTGTGTACATAGGTGCAGAGATTGTGCTGCCATCGACATGGTCGCTCAAGTTCCCAATTTCGTACGCAGCCAACTGCACTGCTTGCTAGCGGTGGACGGTCCGTGTTGTTTGTCTTTGTCCCGAACTGCTGTTGTGTTCATGGACGACGACACAGACACAAAGAAAGAGATGCGGATCGTTACCTGTACGCGAGCAACTCGCTGCCTCCGCGAGCAACGCACGCAACCTACAGAGACGAATACGTTACGAGCTTTGCAGCACATTTCGAGCATCACTCAGCAAGAAATAAATTACACACAAACGCAGAAAATCAAAAATGGAAGATTGTGGCGCGCAGCACACAGGACGCTCGTTCTCTGTTCAACCGGCCGTTCCCATGGCGAAACACGCAAGAAACAGTCAAGGCCGAGTAGTGTCGGCCACAGGAGGTGGAAGCTGCTCAAACTCAGGGAGGGTTCATCATCTGCGATTCCCTACCGAACCATACTTGAGGCGCCACGAGATTCTCACTGTGACTCGAGATCAGCATTTGAGACCGGGTCGGGCTAGGGGTGGGCTATGCGAATGAAAATGACACCGATAGAAAAACTGAGTTTAGATTGATAGAGACGCAAGCTCTACCGAGCTTGGGAATTTTACTACTTTTTTATGCTGCCAAGAAATTGCGTAAGGTTATGAGTTTGCTTCATTTGTTGAAGGTTTCAGCTGTGGCCGATTCGAAACTTAGTAAATAGGAAAAATAGATACGAACACACAAAGTGTACACATTCGAGATATAACCACGACTGGTCGAACGGGATGCGTTGAAACTTGTGGTGAGAGGACACCTGAGGAAACGGTGCCAAACTCTTGCTGACGATTCGGCTGCAAGTACAGTAAAACTCTGAGGCGAAACTCGTCTAACACGATCTAATTTTGTACACAGCACTTCCTATCTTCGTTTTTATCGCGTGGTTGGCTGAGTTTCATTCAATACATAAGGGTCCTAATCTTGCAAGGTTTGGGGGTCTCGCAAGTGCCATGGCGTGGCACCTACTGGTACACTGGTTAAGTGCGAGGTGATGTAGGATGGTTTAGGAATCGGGGTAGGTGGGTGCGTTGGCATCTCTCGCACATATTCATACGACCATTTAATTTTACCATCTACATGCTACGTAGTGTACTTATCTTTTGGTCATCTCGCAAACCTAGATAACAAAAAATAGAAAATAGTGGTTCGGTCCTCTCTCTGGAAGCTCTAGGATTCCTTTGACTACAACCTGCAGTGTGGAAAACGATTGGTCTCATGTCTCATGAGTACACATATAGCCTTCCTCGCGATCAAAACTGAAGGCCAGGAGATGCCGCAGGAGGAAAGGTGGAGCAAGAGAAAAAAAGGGCAAACGATACAACAGGGTATACCCTGGTCAAAACGGGCCTCAGCTGGGTATTTGGCAGCATCAAACTGGCTTTGCTGATTGTTCAACGTCCATGTTCACCGTTATTGAATACCCTGCCACAGCTACGGTTTCTCCAGAATTGTAGCCTGATTTCGGAAATGTACCCTGACCTGACGGAAAATGGGCGTCTTGCATCGGCCAATCTCCTCCGCAGGAGCACTTTTTGGCTCCAATCATAGGATACCAACCATGAACTCTTGCACTCGAAACAAAATGGCTGGCACTCAGAACAGTCCGTTGGGAAAGCATGCGAAGCGCTGTATGTGAGGTATGCGAATTACGAGTGACGCTCAATAACACGAGCGATCCAGCATGGTTTGACACGTTCGAAGAGATATATGAGCGGGTGTGTGGCGGCGAGCTGGTGGCGGTGGAGAGGTGGGAGGACTCACTCACAGGCTGATGAATCATTATGGGAGTTAGTGTACTACCCTACCTAGAACGCAGGTTGCTGAATGCTGTACAACCGACAGATTGTGCCGGAGGAGCGGATTTAAGAGCTTCCATCTGAACCTAGTGCGGGCGAGGATTTGCGGGATGTAACTACCGGTTCAGATGTGGAATGACTAGGCGGGAAACTTGGCCGCCACTCGCTCCGTCCAAGACGGTCGGCGTGTGTGTGTCCTTCCGCCTCTCCGCCACTACGAGCTCGCCGCCACGCATCCGCACGTCCATGTATCGACCAACAGCGATACTGCTTTCAACCATACCAGTACTCCATTGGTCGCGTTCTGAGCGTGAGTCGTATCTGGCGTTTTGTTTTTCTCAAGAATTCTGGACTATAAAAGTTAACAGGGGACGCCATAGAAAAGTGCCGACTACCCGGCGGGCTAACCCGACCCTTTCATTTCTGTTCCAGGCTCTCTCTCTCTCTAGCCTGATGAAGACTGCCACTCCATGTTATCATTTTAAGTTCTGACGACGTTACCCGTTTATCCCGCTGTCGTGAGCGACAGGGGTGGTGGGTGTGAGAATCGATCAAGTCTTAACTTGTGCTCCTGTTCTGCGCTTCTGCCGTGTTCACTACAGTCTATTGGGCTCTCTCGTCTCTCTGCCTCTTGGCTAGACTCTCCAGACGTTCTCCATTATTTTCTGACTTCAGTGCTCAGTCGTATCCACTTTTATCCCCTGTTCCCTACATTTCATAACGCCTTCACAAACCACGAATTCGAAACTTCTCGCATCCTACCGACCTCAGGGTAGGTCTTAACGAAGGAATCAGATCTCGAAATCATATTCAGAGTTGGTTATAAGACCGCAAGATACACAGAACTCTGTTGTTGATTGGCTGAAAAGTTATGGAACCCGTCAAATCTTCAAGACTTAAAACAGGACGACCCAAAACCAAATCGGGATTTGAAAAAGGTCATATCATTTTATCAGATCCCGATTTGGGTGAACCGCAATCAAGTTCGAACATTAGAGGTCTACTCGCATGCACGGCGGGTGCCCACCTACCCCCATCCACACGAACTCCATCCACCGCCGAGCACAGAGGAGAGAGAGCATATAAACCCAACCCAAAGGGAGGGTGACTGCGCATAGTTGTTGCACGTGACTGGCGCCGAAAAAAAAACGTGTGTGGGATGTGTTGGTCTGTGGGGCAATCTCACGTGGTTGTCGAACATCAAATGCACAGATGAAATTGTGTCTTTCCGTCGGACGAGGCTCGATTCAAAGTCTCCCATGCATTGACATCGTGTCAGTACCGCACAGAGGCCATGTACGCGTTTGGTGTGTGCTTCTAGAGCGATAGCTCCCCATGTGGTGTGGCCACGTCACAACAGTACGTCACAACAGCAATCTGGTAGTTGGCAAGCGGTGGACCTCTCGGGTTGTTCGCGGTGGACTGCAGAGATTCGTTTCCACTTGGCAGAGCCGCCGTTAAGACACACAGGCCATTTCCGGTCGGATTTGGGTAGACCCGACTCTTCTATTCTTATAACCAAATGTGATTTCGAGATCTGATTTCTTCGTTGAGACCTACCCTCATAACATGGTGGTTGGATCGGAAATGGATCCCTGCCGAGGAATCGGCCGATGAAGGGGTTCCATTTCCCGTCATATCAGGGTACATTCCCCAAGTCAGGGTACACTTCTGGAGAAGAGTAGCCGTGGCGAGGTATACGGGCCCGCAGTTAAGACCCATGTTTAGGGTTTCAAAATGTTGGAAATAAATCTTCAAATGTTGTCAAACATTTGCGCGCGAATATCTGCCAGAGGAACATTTGAGTGCTGTTTTTATGCGCAAAAATATCATACCGTGTGGTTTTCTCGGAATGCATCAGAAGTGCGGCGGGAATCGTGGTCTATTGCTACCAAACGATTTGTGACAGACAAACCACAAATGCATCATGGAAACTGAATGTAACGAGCTCGCAAAGGGCTCTCCACAACCCTTGATGCACTGCGCTGATGTTGTGCCCGCCAATATGTGGCGATAGCGCTCCGGGCGTGCGAGAAAAAATGTTCACGGTGTCAAAAAGAGGTCAAACCGTGCGTCAGCGCTTCCCAACGGCAAAAAGTCGGCCGCTTGAGAGGACACGTGAGTACAAAACTACCCAGCTCTCGCCCGCTAGACCATCGATTCATGTTTTGTGTTCTTGGGTGTCTTCTCCATCAACGACTCTCATCCGGTTGCGCGTGGGTTGGCAGTGGCCGTGCTCAAGTCGGCAGGGAGGCACATCGTTGTGCTCGCAAAGTTGTGGACACAACGTTTTTTTCGGTCTATTTTTTCACTTGAATATAGAGGGCTTGTTCCTCCGTCCCAAATAAGACTTTTTCAACACATCGAGTTCACAGCGACGCGCCTCCTTGCCTGTTGAGTACGTCCACTGCTGAACCACGCACACCCGGATGAGAGCCGTTGATGGAGAAGACAACCAAGAAGACAAAACATAAATCGATGATCTAGAGGACGAGAGCTGGATAGTTTTGTACTCACCTCTCCTCTCAAGCAGCCGACTTTTGGCCGTTCGGAGACACAAACCACGTTTTCTCCGTGCCCTCCGAACCACCCCTGTCTGTTTGTTTTTTCGTGTACGCTTGTCGAGCTCCCGCAATGTATCAGCCGGCAGAAAGTTGACGGTGACTCAAGGGTTGTCCGGATCCCTCTATGAGCTTGCTACGTTGAGTGTGCGCTGTGCAGTGGTTGGTGTTTAGGACGGAAGGACCGGTCGGCTACTAATCTCGCCGCTCTTGGTAAAGAATACTATACTACTCCATATTCTTCCCTCTCCCGCTAAAAGCCCCAGGAAACACCACCCTCTACATCTTGTTGGAGAACTCATGCGAGCTTGAGCAGCCCCATCGATTAGAACTGTGCCGCTTATCAGCTTAGGCCTTATATCGCGAGATCGAGGAGGTTGACGTGTTGCGATTTGAGCACAGCAATCTTCCCGCATAGATTTTTGGTGAACAAGCGCATCAGTTGCCGGCAGATAGAGCACGCCACCAAGCAACCACACTGCTTGAAAGTGACAGAGCCTACCAATGTAGTGTGCGAGTGACGTCGCATGCCATGACAGCAACGGCAGGCAACCAGAAACGATTCTGGAGGTGTTCCCGTGAAGTATTGTAATTTAGATGCAGCAGCCTGAGTTTTGGGACAACGTTGACGCGTCGCCTCGTTGTCCACGAGTGTATCCCCAAGAAACAAACGCATTGAACGTGAATCAAGCTGGTTAAACGCGTGTTCTTGTCCGCAAAAAAACGCGGTCAAGGTTTGAGATGGGGCAGTTTGATTTTTCAATCAGCGGCCCAACTTGTCTCGATTTTACCTCCCCTCCATTTAATGATGCGTTTTTGGAATCCCTCACTCTAGCTTGAAGTTGTTTCGTTTTGTTTGCGAAACGACATTGCCTTTGATAATAGTCTTTTATTTTGTGAGGAACCGGGCGTAGCCTTAAGAATCGTCTGCCCCCCGAAATTTACTGCTGATCGCTGTGACACCTACCTTGTTGACTGTTTCGTTTCTCCCCCCATCCTTTACAGGCTTAACAATTGCGTGGGCCGCAGCAACTATAGGTATTTCGTTACTCTTTTGGTATCGACGTTTTTCATGACCTCGATCCAGCTGGGAATATCAGCATGGTTTGCCATCATGTATCACTCGGACAACGCGGCATTCAGCGACAGAGGTGCGGTCTGATTGTGTTGCACTCTTTACGGGTGGACTGCTGCCGAAGTTGAAGTTTTTGAGGACCTGGCTGGTACAGATTAACGCGCTTTTCGTTCGCCGTTGTAGTTACCGGGAACTGTGCGAGTAGGGTAGCCTGCGTCGACTACCGTGGTTTGTCGTAAGCATTGTAAAACCGTTGCCATTCATACACAGCCCCGCGTACAACCAATTACGCCGCGGGCATGTATGACACTGGAACAGAGCAGTAGCTGATCCCGCTCATTCCCTGGGGACCTTCGTGGAGAGTGGGTGGTGCTCGACAGGCTATCTCCCACTGTTGGACTGTTCATTTGATTCATTTGACTGTGTGGGTGGGTGAAAGTGTCGAACCGCACCGGCACCACGTGCTTGTGCAAAAGTCACAGCCGAAAGTGCACGGTTTGAGGGTCGCCGTGCCCAACACCAGCCGCTGCTGTCAGCGCTCAGCGCGTCACAAGTATGCAGAGCTCATGCCTTCGTCCTCGCGTATGGGTTGCTTGACTGTAGGAAATGATTGATCAAGAGGAGAGTGCTGCCGTAGGGGACACAAGATATTACAATCCCTGGCCCAATATAGAGAGCTCGAATACCCACAGCAGAAAGAGCGGCGGTGCCGAAAATGGCGGCGTTGGAATTGTTTGGTCGAGAGCTTCCGAAAACGTACCGTTTGATGTATATGCCCTCTTCGTCGTGGAGTACTGGAGCTTTGAAATCGGTCCAGGGAGTGTCCTATCTTAACGGTGTTTTTGTTGAGTATTGGTTTCCCACCTCGTGCTCCTGTCCAATCCATCAAATGCCGCGCGTGGACCTTCAACGTAAACACCCTGACGGAATTCACCTGATGGTAGAATGCCAGATTAAAGAATAACCATCCTGTCCCACCTTTCGCGGCATCTGGGGCTTTAGGTCAGACTGTATGGATTGGCTAGGAATCTCAAGAATGCGGTGTCCTTCACTTTGTCGTCGCAAGCCACGTTGATCGAACTCGATTTTCGTCTCCCGTGGTTTTCCCTCTCCCTCCCGTCTGCTTCCGCTTGATACGCCATCCGTCCTTGCTCTCTTGTCTGTTGTGGCTTCCAGTCGAGGGCAGATACGCACGATTAGGAGGGACAGGACATATTGTGCTGGTGTATGCGTTTGCTGTATTGGTTTTACCTTTCCTCGGGCTTTTGGCGCAGCTGCTGGGATTCCACATCATGCTGAGTGAGTGGCTTGAGGGGAAATCAGGTGGCTGTTGCTATTGATCGCTTTTTTCCCACACCGTAACGCAGCACGTGCTATACATACAGTTCATGCAAAAGAGCCTTGGCGAGCAAGCGTGACTGACGAGCAAGCGCAATTTGGCGTCATGGAATTGCTTTTCGATGGCCGTATGCATAAATGTGTTGACCTAGCGACACCTCTCAAGGACACTGCAGGGAGAAAGAGGTCCATGGTTGCATGCATCAAATGCCGGCGATTTTAAGTAGGCCGAATGATCCTACTTGCAGAGAAATGAGCTCACAGGTGCCTTCAACTGACTAATGCCCCCAATGTTGCATACCCGTCTTTTAACCCTGCCAACCTGCTCTTCACGTGCAGTCTCGCGAAATTTGACAACGTACGACTACATCGTACAAGAGCAACGGAAAGAGCGGGAACGGAAAGAGCGAAGAAGAATATTGGACAAGGTGATTGAAGTCTTGTGCTTTGGAGCCTGATGACGTCAGCTCGATGGCGGGTGATGTCACCTTGTTTTGTTTTATACTCCGGAGTAAGCATTGCATGTTTTTGAACAAGACAAGGATGCGCAAAGAGCGAGCAAACAAATGTTGCACACCTACGTATCTCCAGATAGCCTGGAGGGAGGCCGGGGGAGTCATGTAAAACCTACCGACTTGGCAAACAATAACAATCACTTTTTTATATATATCTGCCACGTTCGCTCAGAGGTTCACATATACCGCTGATTGATTTTCTTGCAACCTCCTCCAATAGAGCCGTTTTCGTAGTTTGCTTTGTGCACCCTCAATTTTTTTTTGTTTTTATGTCGAAACTGTCTCGAAATGTTCCAAGACAAACTTTGCACTGTACTGCCTGTACTGGCGAAAACCTGAGATGTATTATGAAGACCGGTCCGGAAAATGTTCCAAGCATTTTCCAGGAACGTTCGCACACGAAAGCACACGTATCACAAGGGTACCTCTCATTCCCACTTCTTTGGGCAACCAAGTGCCGACACGGCAAACAGGAGGAACGAGAGAGTACGTTAAAAGCACCACCCACCCACCCTCACAAGTGGTCGTAGTACATTACAAGGTGACGTTTATTTTCCAATAATTCAGTCGCGATCGGAGAGTGTCGATGAGTGTTGCAGAGACACAGGAAAACACTCATCGACACTTCCTTTTCACGATGGGTGACTTCACCAACCTAGCGGGAGGTGAAGCCGCTGTCTTATCCCACACTAAAGGGGAAGAATAAACGGTCACAGAGATACGGCTGGATTGCCGCGAGCTTTTGTTGAGATTTGTCTGCCTTGCCAGGAAATGCAGATTTAGCCACGGCTCTCATGTGTTTCACCGTACACCGTCATCATCGTTTTTTGTGGCCCAAATCGCAGGATAAGTCGGGTGCGCGCCATCCATTGGCGTGCTGCGTATCCGGTGAACGGGGGGGAGTGGACGCCGCTCCTGCGAAGTCGGGGCAGGCATTGGTGCCATGACTTCCAGTTGTAAAAAACATGATGCGCCAAACGACAGCGTACATTCTGTTCTCTTTGAGTTCACCAAACTCTTGTTGCGTCTCTTTAGCTGTGAAGATCTCTTTGCACGTCTTGTAATGTTCTCAAAGCATTCCATGCTCCCAGATTAGTGTAGGATAGTGTAGGCTAGAATTTTGGTTTTCGTAAGGGTGCATTGAGTTATGGTTTCTGTTCGACGTGCTGTAGTCCCTTGAATGCACGTTCGGTATGTATATGTATTTTTGTAATATTCGCTGTCACAATTGAGGCCTGACATTCGGCGGACGGCCAATGACGAAGAAGGCAAGCAATCGCAAGCCAAGGCCGTTAATTATATTTGTTTGGATCCTACTATCATACGCCGCACGCAGCTACGTCTCCCGGTAAGCGCGGCAATCAATCTTCGCAACGCAACACAATGAACAAACGGCCGAGCCGTGCCGTGTACAAAACATGACCATCTTCCCATCATCAGATCATCACAACTAGTCCAACGGAAAGGCAGGGTTGCGTAGGTGCGGCAACTGAATCGGGCTACGGCGTGCTGTCAAACACAACTGACGTTATGGCCGTAAGTTAACGCCGCCGACCCAAATATGGCGATCCTGCTCTACTTTCGTGTATCTTCGCCCCGCCGAGAGTGACTGAGCGCTGCAGCTTTCTTGCTGGCGCTGATCATGAACTGACGATGGCGCTTCTTTTTTTTGTCGTACTTCGAGACCGTTTCGATCCCATCCCGACGGGGTGCTCCTCTTTCGCGCTTCTGACGGTCAGATCTGCGCTCCTTTTTCATGGTCAGCATCCAGTCTGGCACCTGCACAGGCACGATTGAAAAATGTCACATGGCACAACGGAGTGAGTTACGCTCAACAGTCGATCAAACACTCACACAGCGCCCACACACTCGTACTGTGCAGGGGACGCGCACGACACCTCCTGATCGCAAACAATTGTCTCTCAGCGTTGTCTTGAACAAATTCCCCTGAGAGGCGCGTCTCCTGTTAGAAATATCAGTATCAACTGATATAAAACTGCTTTTATACGTATTCTCTTGGAGTACAACACAGTATACGATGTCACATACATCATGAGCGATTTCAGTAGCACAAAACTATATCGGTTTCAGTATACGTGATATGGCACACTAAACGCGGTATAACAAGCTATTAAGGAAGTAACTTCAACTTGAAGAACGTTATTTCAGGAAAGGTATCTAGAACGATCCACCGATGGATGCGGTAGATTCCGTAACGGTTCGTGGAATATTTCCTAGATCGGGCGCACTTTCCTAGAACGGTTCTCAGGAAATTCTCAGGAAAAGTCCAGAGTAAGATTAGCAAGGTCCCCGGAACGTTTCCGGAACAGTGCTTTTGGTCTTACAGAACGGTATTTGGTTCCCAGAACGGTTCCGGACCGGTACTCAAGTTCTTCGTAGTTTCGTCGGTAATCGACGAAAACGCTGACCAGGCAGAGCGCACGCCCCCCACCGGACCTCACTCTATTTCCTGCCCAGCTCAACAATACAACAAAATTGTACAGCATCTGTTTCTCACTTCTCTTTGAACCAAATTGTGATAGCAACTCGACGAGTATCGTCGCGTTGCCTGTCTGAAGCTTTCCATTTTTTTAGCGGTTAATAAAGTCGAGGGCGCACACCGCGACACGCTAGCCCACCGAGCACGACAAAGAGTTCTATACACAGAGTAGATGACATAAGATATCACACCCCCTGAACAATTTTCAATTTTTTCAAAGCTCGATTACTCCACAGCAGAAAGCAAGCGTGGCCGGGCGGCGTTGGCACCGATAGCTTTTTCCGAAACAAACCTATCGTTTGACGTTCTCGTCGTCGTGGACTAACATTATCAGCTGTGAACATTGATGATGCGATATATTATGTCACCTACTACTGCCGGTACATGCCATGCATAAGAACAACGAGCACCCTCCATACTCCGGTAAGTTATTGTATTCATTTAGTAGGTAGTTGAATTGAAACCTCTCATTATACCCATCCATGAAGAAGTCGTTTTATACACAAATACTTAAAAAAAAAAAGTGCAGCAAAAACTATCCATGGACGAACCCAGCAGTGCCGTTGTTGTTGTCTTCACGATTAATTACAAAAAGCCGTTCGTTCTGCTCTCTCTACCCAGTACCTTCTTGTACCTTCTTCGTCTGTTCGTACCATTATTATGTATGATAGTCTGACGCGGTCGATCCCCGCCGTGGTCACAGGCTAACTTACCCAAAAAAGTTATACGAAAATAGAATGCACCCGAAGAAGGGTCCACAAGTCAACGACAGATTAGTCTAGGACCCTCCGCTCGCTTCAATACGCTATGCGAGGTAGTAGTCATAGACTGGACAACAAAGAAAAAAATGGGCAAACGAATATCAGAGGCGACGTCACGTGCACCCGAAAAAACCGTCAGTCTTCGACCGGCACTTCTCACTACACCCATCCATGCGCATGCACTTTTTTGTGGCGAGGGACTCCATGCTTCCAAGAATCATCTCGTTGATCTGTTTTTTTCGTTTACATACATGTAGTGCGCACGGCACACCCGAATGAAAAGGAGACCATACCCAGAACGCGCTCTTCCGCACGCTTGTAAAGAATCCGGGACTAAATGAATGCGGACCCCAGAAGATGCGCTTTTCACAGGAGGTTTCCTCTCCGAAACGAAAGAACCGGACACGGGAGAGAGGGGAAAAAAAAAGAGAAGAGGCGTAGGACGCGTTCCCCGTCATGGACATTTCATAAGAGTCGTATTGTGGTAGTGGCAGGAACCTCTCTCTGCGATAAGGTCAGAAGACCACCAGTCCCCGGAGCTCTTCTGTTGCACCCACCCATGGACGCAGCAGTAGTAGCGCATGTATGTCCTGTAATAGACCACTACTGCTGAAAATATTGGAGACCACAAATGAATCATGCCGACAGGTGGGTCGTGGGTGGGCGGGGGACCCTAAGAAACAGTCAGACTCAGCCAGTTTACATCCTCACAGTTTCTTGCAAGCAAGAACGAAGGGCAATAACAAAAGAGAAACCGCCAGCGACAGGAAACAAAGAAGAAGTAGAGGAGACCAGAGCTAAAGAAGCAAGGGAAGAAACAAGACCCCCTTGCCGCTCTGACCCACTGGAAGCTTTCCATGTACCGCAGCAAACAGCAAGGGCAGCACCCACTACCTCACATGCAGTAGCCGGATACATGCACGGACTGGTACGTAGTAGAAGTTTAGTCTCTTTCTCCGGCAAGAACAATAACGCCCGGGCGAACTTGAACTTGTAGTCACAAGAAATAGCGTCATGATGACATAATCCATTCTGCTTGCCATGGGAGATGCGCATCGTTACGCGAGGAAGGCGCTAACTCTTGGCATAGAATATGCTGCCGTAGACCCTATATCCCTCAGGGTCGGTCTTAACGAAGAAATCAGATCTCGAAATCACATTCAGATTTGGTTGTAAGACCGGAAGATCCACAGAACTCTTTCTTCGTTGATTGGCTGAAATGTTATGGAACCCGTCGAATCTTCAGGACTTATAACAGGACGACCCAAAACCAAATCGGGATTTGAAAAAAGGTCAAATCATTTAATCGGATCCCGATTTGGGTGAACAGCGTCCATAGTTGCGGGACCACGGTCTACTCGCATACACGGCGCGTGCCCACCTACCCCCATCCACACGAACTCCATCCACCGCCGAGCACAGAGGAAAGAAAGAGCACTAAAAGCCAACCCAAAGCGAGGGTGACTGCGCATCGTTGCCACAGGAGGCGGAAGCCGCTCAAACTCGGGGACGGCTCATGACTTGCGATTCCACACCGAACCATACTCGAGGCGCCACGAGATTTGCACTGTAGCTCTAGATCAGCATTTTAGACCGGGTCGGGCAGGGGTGGGGCATGCGAATGAAACTTCCACGGATATTGAACGATGAGACTGGAGCTAAAGTTTCAAAATTCCCCAAGCCTTGGACGTGTCGGCGAGCATGGTACAATACGATATGGTGGTGTGTTGACAAGGCAGGGAATGGACGGGGTCCGAGTAAAAAGTCCGGGGCCCAGTCATGAACATGGCAAGAAAACACCCCTCCCAACAAAAATTAATGGTGGGCGGGTGGCTGTGGGGGACCCCAACAAACAAAGCATGAAAATTGAAAAAAGAAGACCAAAGACAAGTGAGCCAGGCGCGACAGGCTTGGGGGAGGAGGCAAAAGAAGCATAGAAAAGCCACCGTGGTCGTCGCTCGCTCTGGGCCGCTGGAGCATGTCACATAGCACTGCATGTCCAGCATTAGGTAGGGCCCCAAGTCCATTGCTTGACAAGAAACAGGTAGCGCACATCGCCTCTCATGCAGCAGCCGGTGCACGGGTAGTCTCTTACTCGGCAAAATACAAAACCACTGCGGTTGACGTAGTTCGATATTGTTGGGACCCCACCGGCGAAAGGCGAGAGAGAGACAGGTAGACTAAAAGAAGAGAGCGGAGAGAAGACAAGGCATTCACTCTCGAGAAGACACTCACTCACTCTCGTCCCTTTGCCCCACCGCAGGCTTGTCAGACATCTGTACCGAACGGCGGTATCCGAAGTGGGCTCAGCAACAACAAACACAAACAACAATCACAAGTCGCCGAGTTGGAACTAGACTAGAGTAGTGCGGACTTTCATCCTTCTGTGACGAAGTGAGAACAAAAAACATGACTACACGGACGAACTAGTCCGTCCGTCCGCGATAGATCTGCACCGCTGCACAGAGCAGCAGACTGCTGTTGGTTGTCATTCCTCACTTTCTGTTGTAAATAAGATTGTGCTGCCATCTACCTTATCGCTCAAGTTACGACTGACTACGCAGCAGACTCAAAAAGCATCAACACCCTTATTCGATATATGCCACCCATGCATATGCACGCTTAGACTAACACGATGCATACCACCCATGCATATGCAGCAAGAGAGAAAAAAGGCCTGTTGTTGTCTGTCTCAACTGTTGTGCTGCTGTTGCTTTTCATGTATAACGACA